GGTACAACCTGCTATCTCGCGGATCTAGACGAAACCATTACGGAGGCAGCGAACAAAGGAGAACACAGCGAAATCGTGGCTTTGGACATCAAAAAAGCATATGACGAGCATGGCATAGAAATATTATGGAAAGCATAATCGAAAGCAAAATGGGCCAAAAAATGAATAATTTTGTATATAATTTCCTGCAAGACCGATCTGGCAGAGTTTGTTTTAACAGTCAACTGTCGAAGTCCACTCGGTAGGAAAATGGTGTACCTCAAGGGTCGGTACTATCAGTCTCTCTCTTTCTCCTTTCCATGAACTCACTATTCACTGTTGTTCCAAAAAAAAATTACAAGTTTTTCTCTACGCTGATGACATACTGATCGTCGCAACGGGAAAACGTGTCAGCTATTTAAGACGAAGATTGCAAAAAGCTGTTAAAGCGGTGGAAAAATGGACTACAAGCATCGGCTTTCAACTATCTTCTTCAAAATCCGCAACCATGCACTGCTGCAAGATGAAACGGCATCGTAGATGGCACCTCGAGGGAGCAACAATTTTGCTAGGAGGTTCAGAAATTAGCAAACCAAAATTAATAAGAGTTCTTGGTATCATTTTTGATCGAAAATGCTTAAAGGTGCATACTCAAAGCAATTGAAAGAAGAATGCAGCAGTCGATTGAACCTTTTGAAAGCTATATCAAGAAAAGCAGACAGGAAAACATTGCTCTAAATTGGGGACGCTATAGTCACCTCCAAATTGATGTACAGTTTGGAAATATTACGCAAATAAAACATCGCTACACTGTCTCCTACGTACAACCAAATAATAAAGACGGCCTCTGGAGCTCTACGAACCACCCCAGCCCTCTCACTAGCCGTCGAATCAGACTGTCTACCTTTGCAGCATCTAGCTACTATCGGATTGGTAAGAAAGGCCTGTGCGATACTGAAAAAATCCCCGAAGGAATGTAATTTTCTATGGAACAAAGCCAACATTGCATTTCGAACCCTAACGGGTAAGTCACTGCCACAGATCTGTAAGCTAGACAGAATACTTCCTAGAACATGGTTTCAAAAAACACCGTACGTTGACTGGACTATTAAGTCAAAAATCAGAGCTGGTCATGCTCCTCAACTGGCTATGGAAACCTTTCGAAAGCTGTTAGAAGAAAAGTATCAGCAATTCGAACAATGGTACACTGATGGATCACTAGCCGAAGAAAAAATAGGATATGGAGTAATTGGACCATCTATCAAGATTGAAGTTAGCTTAGCTGACCAATGCTCCGTTTTCTCAGCTGAAGCAGCAGCACTTGTAGCTACAACTCAACATGCCAGAAATAAATCCGTAATTTTCAGCGACTCCGCCAGCTGCCTACTAGCACTAGAATGGGGGAAATCAAAGAATCCTTTTATCCAACGTATTAAACGAGAGACTGCAAACAAAGATGTACGTTTTTGTTGGATCCCCGGTCATTCTAGCATACCGGGAAACGAAGAAGCTGATAATGCAGCTTACCTTGGAAGACACCAACAGAGAACTAACACCCAAGTCCCAGCACAAGACATCATTAAATGGACTCAAAAAGAAATATGGAAAGCACATCAGGAATCATGGGATAAGGCTCCAAGGAAAAACCTCCGAATTGTGAAGTCTACAATAGGTAGATATTCCGACAGGAAAAACAGGAAAGAGCAGATTGTCTTAACTAGACTTCGGCTCGGTCACCCTTGGTTAACAAAGCAACATTTTTTTGAAAGGAAACCACCGGAAACATGTAGGGTTACGGTATGTAATGTGGGTCTAGTCCTTTCATTCGGCCTATCACGCAAATAAATAATTAATTAAGGAATATTACACAAAAAATAAGGAAAATATTGATCACTGATGATTGATAAATGTGTACCACACACAAATCAATTTATATCACAACATTTCAATACATTTTCAGCTCTCGTAAGTAATAAAACTGGTTGAGAATATCACTCTGTTCGGAGTTTTTAGCCGCCATGACTTCTAAGGTTAAGATGGGAAGGTTGCACTGACGATCATCAAATGGCCTGATTATGGCATTTATTGAATGGAATTACCTGATAATACACACTAGACGTAAAACTCACAGTTACTGTTTGAATATTTTATGTTTATTTTAATTGTTTAACAACGTTTTCACAAGTAAATCATGGACCCAACTTTAGGGACACATTTCTTTTCTATGTTCCTAACTTTGGCCCATGAAATTCATTTGACAGCATATAGCAATAAGAGTAACGTCAACAATGTGGTTTGCATTTGGATGATAAGGAACGAACAGGAAGGGAGATTTTTTCTGCCAAATCTGTATAATGAACATCACAATGTTTTGATTTAGATATTCTGCGGTCGAAAGACGATAAGCGAAATTTTTAATTTTTAATTTTTAACTTGAGTGATTTAATGTAGTTTTCGTAAAATTTTCTCTAAGAAATGTTTTGAGGAATGAAGAGTATTAAGTTAACAGTGATAGTGATAAAAAAAATACATAAGAAAACGTTACCAAGAGCGTTTTTTTTGAGAATCAAACAGGATAGGACGAAGTTGCATCCATAAATAGACCCAATTTGGGGACAATAGACCGATATTACATACATTTCCCTGGTGAGTTTTTGTCTTAAAAAAAGTAAGTTTTTCAACTTTTTGCGGTTCCTGATAGCAAACGACATGATTAGCATATCTAAGCATACCATTTAGCAGTAGAATATCGTTTGCAGGTAAATTAATTGATGAGTTATGATTAAAAACGTAATCTATGGCTGCATATTAGACCGAGGTTAGGGACGTATACCCTATCACCTGTAATCGCAACATAACAGTTCATCATATACTTTGCTGCATGCCAAAGATACAACCTTGAGCGACACAATCTCGAGATTACCAATGACATACACGAAATTCTTCGCAACGACAAAGCTGCCGAGGATAAGCTAATCAACTTTATGAAAAAGGTAGAACTTTTCAACAAAATATAGCGTGAAACTTAGCATTTTCGTTATACATAAATTGTTAATAAACTTATATTACCGCAGAGACGAATGCCCTTTAAACGGCGCCGGTGGTGTAGTGGTAAGCGTGATTACCTCTCACCTTAGCAGGCCTGGGTTCAATCCCAGTCGGCGCCGCCGGGATGTTCTGAGGCATAACATCTCTGATCACGCCTTCCTTCGGATGGGAAGTAAAGCCGTTGGTCCCCGGTTCATGAGTTGATGGGTCGATAGGTAGGGTCCAGGTGTGGGAGCTGCCTTCCTGGCACGTCGGTAGCATTGGTGCTCAGCACGGAAAACAAGATCGACGGAAAAAACAAACCAAAGGAAAAAAAAAAAAGAATGCCCTTTAAGGGTAAAGTCTCTATAAACAATAATAAAAAAATACGAACGTCCTTGTCATTAAGATGATTCTCGGTGGTCCAAAATCAACAAAATCATAAATTTACTTTCAAAATTAAACCGTTCGATTTTGACACGATTCGATTTTGGTAACACTAAATATTCGGGCATGTTGCCAAAATCGAACGGGTACTGCATATCTGCTCATCAAATTGCAAATGATTGACTGCTTGATTATTATGAGGTATAAATGTTTATGGCACATTCTACCAGGATGTATCCACGTCTTGTCCTGATTTTTTGACAGTTTTTCTAGAGTAACTGAAAAAAATTAAAAATATCCCTTATGTATTATTGCAGATTTGGAAAATGTGATAAATTTCCTAAAATAATTGACTAAATATTTATGATTAGAATAGCTCAAAATGATTTCTCACCTACACTACTCAACAACTACTCACCAAAACGTTTTGAGCTATTCTAAATACAGATCAGTTGCGTGATATTTCACGTAAATCGGACGTGAAGATTTTTTAGAGTGTACGATGTAGAAATTTGAAATTCCTAATTCCACTGCTTCCCTGAGGTTTCTCGGATGCCATTTGTTTATGATTCTCAAACAAATTTCCCACCTGAAAATCCCATTACCATTTGATAAACACATTTCCACAGTAGCTCGCTTTCACCGACTCACGTCAGGTCCTCCTTCCTCACCAGTGTTGTTCGATTTTTATCGCCATCGACTAACGACGATTGATAACAATTAAATCATGGCAAATAACGGTTCCATATCTCTCGTGCTGCTCCGTACGGACTCAATGCTCATCGCGGGATGCTTGGGAAGTTTATAATACCCTTCTTGGTTCTTATCGCAAAATGTGATTGTCCACCGGTAGAAATTCATACGCCATTCAGATTCCAGTATCAGTACTACTACCGTGAACGATAGCCGTGTAGTTGACACCGGTGTGCCTATGCTTCAATTAAGTTATGCAAATTGTGATTTCTGACTTGGATTTGTTTTTTCGGGATTCAGTAGAATAATTTGATGTTGAAAAGTGTTAAGTGCGTAGTTTAATTTTGCTAGATTTTTCAGCAAGATACCTGCAAGTCGCCGCCTCGTTATGGAATCCAAAGACGATGACTATGGAATTTTCAATGACACCGTTCGTTTAATTAGGTTAAATACATTTTAGTACACATATTCGATTATTTAGATGGGTAACAGTGGATACTTAGTGGAAACTTCGATGTTTAGTACAAAACCAAATCTACGCAGAATAATTTCCGATTTGACGATCATGGGACAGTCACAGTGCCTACCACTTCAGGAAGGAGTGTTATCTCTTGCTCTACCTCGCGCTATATAGATGTGTTGTATACGCTTATTAATAATGTATACGAATCCAAACTCTCGTCTGCCCCATTTTCTGTTTATACATCGCCTGGTAGCAGCAATATAATGCCGTCGCGCAGTCAATTCGTTATCGTTTGTTGAAACATCGATTAGGCACGATCGAAGGAAAGAGCCATGCCTATTATTTGCAAACGAGCGAGCAATTACTGAATTCGCTTCGCACGCAACTTGCGCTTCTCAACCTTGCCGTTTATCGTTCGAGCCGAAGTGTAACGTTTTGCTTTTTCTTACAGAGAAAATATGGACGACTACGGCGAGTCCACCGGACTGCTGGAGCAACAGGTAGCCTCCGTCCGGTTACCGATCATCGGTATGACCTGCCAGTCGTGCGTCAAGAACATCGAAGGAAACATCGGCAGTAAGCTAGGTATAATCAAAATTAGTGTAATTCTGGCCGAGAATGCCGGCTACATAGACTATGATCCCACGCTGACGGATCCGGTCCAGATAGCCGCCGATATCGACGACATGGGATTCGAGTGTGTATACAACGATGATCGGAAGGGAGCCAACGACGGAGCCAGTGATGTATTGTTAGCTCGAATAAGCATAGAAGGCATGACGTGCAATTCGTGCGTCAAAAACATCGAAGGCACTATGAAGGACAAACCTGGGATCGTCTCGATTCAAGTCCTACTGGACCAGAAACTGGGTCTGGTTGAGTATGACCGAATGGTAACCAGTCCGGTGCAGATCGCAGATCAAATCGATGATATGGGCTTCGAAGCCAAGGTGGCCAGTGACGGTAACGAAACTCGAAAGACTGACAGCAAACGGGAGGCCCGTTCGGAGAAGATAATTTCAATTGACGATGGCCTCACGCCTTCGAACGGGAATCCCAACGGTAAGCAGGTCCGGCTGAAGGATGACTACAAACGATGCTTCCTACACATACAGGGAATGACGTGCGCCAGTTGCGTTTCGGCAATCGAGAAGCACTGCAAGAAAATCTACGGAGTGGAGTCGATTCTGATCGCTCTGCTGGCCGCGAAAGCGGAAGTCAAGTACGACCATACGTTGACCGGCCCGGAAGATGTTGCCAAATCGATTACAGACCTCGGCTTCCCGACGGAAGTCATAGACGAACCGGGGACGGGGGAAGCCGTGGTGGAGATCGAAATCCTGGGAATGACGTGCGGTTCCTGCGTCAACAAAATCGAACAAACGGTGCTGAAGGTTCCTGGTGTCCTGAAGGCTTCCGTTGCGTTGACTTTAAAGAGGGGGAAATTCACATTCAACAACGAAAAGACTGGTGCGAGGACGATATGTGAAGCGATACAAACTTTAGGCTTCCAGGCTACGGTGTTGTCCAACAAAGACAAAATGGCTCACAGTTATTTGGAGCACAAGGAGGAAATCCGCAAGTGGAGAAATGCATTCCTCATATCACTAGCTTTCGGAGGTCCTTGCATGATGGCCATGATCTACTTTATGGTCCTTATGGAAACTCACAGTCACGAGGAGATGTGCTGCGTTCTTCCAGGTCTTTCCATGGAAAATCTGATCATGTTTGTCCTCTCGACTCCGGTCCAGTTCTTCGGTGGGTGGCACTTCTATATCCAAGCCTACCGAGCAGTCAAGCACGGTGCCAGTAATATGGACGTCCTGATCACGATGGCCACTACGGTAAGCTACCTCTATTCAATCGGAGTCCTAATTGCAGCTATGGTTATGGAAATGAAAACTTCCCCACTGACCTTCTTCGATACGCCACCAATGTTGTTCATATTCATCTCACTCGGTCGCTGGCTTGAGCACATAGCGAAAGGTAAAACCTCAGAAGCCCTATCCAAACTGCTTTCGCTGAAGGCTACCGAAGCAACACTGGTAATGCTGGGCGATGACTACGAAGTCGTATCGGAGAAGATAATCTCGGTAGATCTGGTACAACGAGGAGATGTCCTGAAGGTTGTTCCCGGCAGCAAAATCCCCGTCGACGGCAAGGTGCTCTGTGGTAACTCCACGTGCGATGAGAGTCTCATCACCGGTGAGTCCATGCCGGTCCCGAAGAAGAAAAATTCCGTAGTCATCGGTGGCTCCATCAATCAAAACGGCCTCCTACTGGTAACGGCAACGCACACCGGAGAGAATACTACCTTGGCACAGATCGTAAAGTTAGTCGAAGAAGCACAAACTTCAAAAGCACCGATTCAGCAGCTGGCGGACAAGATCGCCGGTTACTTTGTACCATTCGTGGTGGCCGTTTCGGTAGTCACTTTGATCGGATGGGTCATCAGCGGTTACGTGGATATCAATCACATTCCTATGTCGGCAGCTGCCAAGGAAGGCTTGAATAGAGAGGAGATCATCTTCAGTTACGCTTTCCGCTGTGCTTTGAGCGTCCTGGCGATCGCTTGTCCTTGTGCGCTGGGTCTCGCTACGCCGACCGCTGTGATGGTTTCTACCGGAGTCGGAGCTCTGCATGGAATTCTGGTCAAGGGGGCAGGGCCGCTGGAGAATGCTCACAAAGTGAAAACAGTTGTTTTCGATAAGACCGGAACGATCACGTACGGAATGCCGATGACTTCCCGGATATGTCTGTTCGTTAAACCGCACGTGTGTTCGCTGACTCGGGCGTTGAGTGTCATTGGATCAGCGGAAGTAAACAGTGAACACCCAATCGCCACGGCAGTTGTTAAATTCGTAAAAGAATCATTGGATATCGATGCCTTCAGTAAGTGCTCGAATTTCATGGCCGTTCCTGGATGTGGTATTCGATGTGTAATTTCCAACGTGAACGGTATGCTAAGCAACGGGTTGAGATCGGAGAAAATGAAGAATTATCAAAATTCGTACAAAAGCAACGATTCTAACGCGTTGAGTTTCGTCAATGGAGCGGTGGTGGAAGAATTGATTCCGCAGTTAAGCCCATCGCAGAAGAATACAATGGAATTGCAGCAGCTGCTTCAGCTTGAAACGATCGAAGCTGACACCAGTGAGGAAGCGTTTTCGCGTGTCAATGAGTACAATGTGCTGATCGGGAATCGCGAGTGGATGAACAGGAATGCGATTCTTGTTCCGTCGGAGATCAACATCAAAATGACGGAGGAGGAACAGATGGGCAATACGGCGATTCTGTGTGCAATCAACAATCAGTTGATCTGTATGATTTCCGTGTCGGATATGGTGAAACCGGAGGCACATCTGGCCGTCTACACGCTGAAGAAGATGGGCATCGAAGTTATTCTGTTGACGGGAGACAACAAGAACACTGCCGGGAACATTGCTCGCCAGGTGGGCATCAATCGGGTGTTTGCCGAGGTGCTTCCATCGCACAAGGTGGCAAAAATCCAACGGATACAGGAGAACCAGATGCGCGTGGCGATGGTCGGAGATGGGGTAAACGATAGTCCGGCCTTGGCTCAGGCCGACGTCGGCATATCGATTGCATCCGGGACGGATGTGGCTGCCGAAGCGGCCGATGTTGTGCTGATGAGGGTGAGTTGCCGTTGGGGTGTAGGTTTTTGGAGGCAGGAAATTTGATAGAATTTTGTTCCATTTTAGAATGACCTACTGGACGTGGTTGCCTGTCTGGATCTATCGCGCAAGACTGTCCGGAAGATACATCTCAATTTTCTGTTCGCCAGTATGTACAATCTGCTCGGCATTCCACTGGCGGCGGGCATTTTCACGCCGTTCGGATTTATTCTGGAGGTAAGTACGCGGGATGTGGTTCTGTGTTGGAAAAAAAGGTTTACTGGGCTGAAATCCACCGGTATTTTCAAACTGATAACGGAAGTTTTCTTAATGTTCGGGAGACATTAATGTTGTCCTTGATTTCTTGCTTTGCCGAGCTTTTCTTCCGGAATCCACAGGAGTTTGGATGAATTGTGTTATAAATCATCATTGAAATTAAAATTAAACCCCATCAAAAACTGTTAATGATTTTTTTTCAAAATGTCATGTCGAACCTGCTCTAAAAAATGCTACGGGGCAAGAGGGCCACTCTTATGGGGCAAAAAGACCATATGTCTAAAATGAAGTGAAACTGATAAATGTTCATTTCTAAACAACAAAATACTATTCTTAGGTATGACAGCAACTGCTTTTATTGTTTATTCCACTAAAATATTGACTTAACGATATATTTTTTTATATCTGAAACATATAAACCATGTGCGTCAAAGATTCAAATGGAAACTATTTTTGAAACTATTTTATACAGTTTGTTTTCCAAAATTTCACGAAAACAATGTATATTGGAAACATGAATGCCCATTGTGTTAATTTCTGAACATTTTTGTACAATTTAATACATAAATGTAGGGGTGGCACTCTTGCCCTGTATAAAGTTTATTTTTAGGAATATAATTTTTGATTAATTAAACAAAATATTTAATAATTTATTGTCATTAATGTATCAAACAACCATCAATAGTGATGTCTCAATGCAGAAATTGTGAAAAAAATAAATTGGAAATTCCGAAAACCTTATTTTATGATGCCTTATTCTTATAAAAAACTAGCTTTTCAATGCATCAACACAAAATGATTTTTTGCATTTTTTTACGACTTCGATTCGGACAGAACTTTTTAGAATGCTTCATAGGAATACTGTGCATAGGTTCATCGTGAGATAAAATTGAAATAATTTCATTTTCAAAATATATTGAGGGTGGCACTCTTGCCCCGGGTGACCTTCTTGTTCCTAGTTCCCCTATATTAGGATTTTAAGGATATCATTAGCTTGTCTTCTCTCAGCACTACTGAGTGTTTCTAGTTCCTTATCCTTCAAACTAATCAGCTCATAAGCTTGACAAGCCATTGTGAACTCTTCCAATCCTTGTACTGCACTACTTGCAATCTTTTTTTTTTTAACTTTATTTAAGAGATTTTTAGCCTTAGGCTAGTTCATCTCTACTACTTGTAATCGTATAACAGTCGCATATAAATATATTTAAAGCAAACATGGCTTATACGTAATTATGAGCAGTTTATTTGTAGACACTCACAAAAACTATGTATTCCTCACACTCTTGGCGCGTAATAGACATCTTTTTCCTGCTGCTTCCTAAGATAGATGTACCTATTCTCTTAACGGTTTTTCAAATATGCTCGGTGGAGTTGCTTTTGTCTTTTTTTCAGTGATGTTCATGATGTAAATTCTTTTCGTAATTTGAATTTTCTTTTTGAATATTGCTCTTCCTTGCATTATCGTTCGTTTTTTAGTCTTTTACCCGGTCATACCAAAGCCTCTCACAACATGGGAGGCGGAGGTCCATTTAGGAAGCAATGCGAGACATGTAATGTGCCACATACAGTGGAGCATTTCCTATGCAACTGCCCCCAGTACTACGGACCACGTGTCCAATAGGGATCCCAGCAAGCGTCAGGGACACCCTGAGTTATGACCCCTCTAGCACCACAGCGCTCTTCTCTTTTCTGTATGAGACAGGATTGATCAACCAAATTTGATGTATGACCCAAAATTGACCCGAGCAACGATAACGGACAAAGGATTGAACTACTATTGGCAACAACGACATTTGTAATTGTAATTGTTCAGTGTATAGGCTGTGCCAACCGCTAAGTTGGCTTATCTAGGGACTAACCCCCTAGTCTATACACCTACTGTCCTTCCCGTTGCACTCGTCAGCTCGTGCGATACTCTAGACACACATGGGTGGTCGTATCCGGGTCCTCCCCTGGTTAGGCTCGTGTTCGTCCAGGTTCTGGTACATTAACTTATATCTATGCATGGTAATTATACTTTACAATTCACCTTTTGATTAAAAATGTCGATTTTAGTGATCATTATTAGGTGTGTGCTGCAATGGAATAGTAATTGAAGGAAATGTGGTTCTCATGTGGCTTATAGGTAAATCATGCAAGCACACACCTTTTACAATTCTTATCCTACTTACCAGTTCCGTCCAGTATAAATTGGCTGTTTTCAAATGGCCTAATCCTTTCTTACTGCTTACTCGCTTACGTTTTCTCGCTTTTTTCCTTCTTCCTATTGAAAATCTGGCCGTGTTCCCAATTGTTCTCAGGTAGGTAATATTGGTACATGAGGGGAAGAAAGGAATAGAACAAGTTAGGCGTGAGTTGCATGCGTTGGTTAGTCGTTTGGGTCATGGTGTTGCGTTCCCTATTTTATTTGCCTCTATTCAGCTCTCAGATCGCCCCCTCCCCCCAAACTATTGCGGATGAGAAAAAGAACCCATATTTGGTAACCTCTCACGAGCTGCAATGCATAAGATATGAATAACAAACAAATCTAGAACGGGGCTTAAACATATAACATTTTCTAAGACTGAACATGATTAGTATAGTATGAATAATGAGAATTGTATGAAGACAAGACGATCCCAAAAGAAAGTTCCCTAGCAATAAAACTATTACTCTGTGCTAATATGAGTTATTTCAAAAGCCATACTCCATACTCAGAAACTATACCCGACCTCAACAAACTGAATCGAAATCAGAACAGCTAAACTACGTAAGATTTTGGCATTTCTATTTAATTGTATTAAGCTATCTCACAGAGACCAGATGTCCAAGTTCGGCCAGAAACTTGTGTAAAGTTAAGTGGAAACGTTGCCGTTACGTAGCGCTAGCATCTCCTGATTTCCTCTATAAATTTATCACTTTCGACCAATTTGGCGCTAGTACCGATAAATTACCTGCTGAAAATTTTCACTTAGTGTCTAGTGTAAGTTTTGCAACGCCAGCGCCATCATGTTGTCAAAGAGGGTTTTTAAGTGGGGAAGTTTCCGTTAGTGGCGCTTAAGTCGAATAGGAATCTTTACACAAGTTTTTAGAGGAATTTTGGAGCCTCAACGTCTGTTTTCTGTGGCTATCTTATATCGAGCTCTTTTCAATAATTACAACATGTGAATAATGCAGAACAAGTTTTAAATTGTTCTAGTGCCAAATTGGTTTTGAAGAAAGGTCAAACTACAAACGAACAGCTCAGCCGCTTTGAACCCTATGAAAATTATGCTTTCCCAATATGGTACATTCTCTCACTATAAACCTGTCATTTCTAGCCTATCTGAACTATTTAATAAATGGAAACCATAACATGGGTTACGTTCCTCCTAAGCGGGCCCTCCGCATCCTATCTCTGTCTTATCTCAAATGCCAATGGTTTGAATGTATCAATATATACATTGGAAATGACGTTCAATCAAATAAACCCATACCCCACTCACTTGGCCAGGCTTCAGAATCGTCCAGTGGGCAGTGCGCTCTACACATCAAGTACCCTTTCTTTCAAATTTACCCCAAATTTTATATTTTACCCCTCTGAGTGTTGATTAATCACAATAGACCATTTTGACGTATAATCGTCTTTCTCTATCTAGAACACATGGATGAATGAACGGTTTGTTTTCCCACTAATCTGTTTCTCTCTTGCTCGCACTCGTTCGATTTAAATTGTGCAGTAGTGTGCGCCGATAAAACGTCAAAAAGCTCTCATAGAACATTGTGACAGAGCACGGACTTGAGGTTACTAGAGTATTAAATAATCTAGGTCCTATTTAGGATTATATCTAAAAATCCAAATTTGGCCAACGCCCACCAACTACTATTGGCAACAACGACATACTCAAAAACGGACGAGCAACTATATTATGATGATGCACGAATAAGGACACGAAAATGGACGGATGATGGCACAAAATTACGCACAGCGGCAACAATAGAACTGAAGACAGAAAACTGCTGCACATAAAAACAAAATGAACACAAGACCAAGTGACGACAATGGATTATGACAAGGACCAACTACTACACGCTAAGAAAAAAGTATGCATTAATGTTTAAATTTTAAACAGTTTCGAGAAAACCCGCACATATTCATAAAATGAATAAACGCTGTTTACTCATCGGATGAATAAACGCGTTTTTCTCGAAAGTGATTAAATTTTAATCATTAATGAATAAAGACGTTTTTCTCAAAAGTGGTTAAATTTTATACAGCGGACGATTTTAAATAGTTGGTTTCGTGTATTTTCAAGATATTATATAAACAATTGCATTCAAATAAAAATCAATAAAAAGTAATATTTATTTCTAGTATAATAAATAAAATTAGGAGGTACATCTGGGCAGAGCAAGATCGCACCATTTATCTCTTAAGTTTTCAAGGCACTACAATGTCGGCCACTTTGTCATCGATCGACATCCCGTCCAGGTGGAACTCGGATGTTTCTTTTCACGATCCCTTCGTCGACCTTCCCGTGTCGTGCTCGGCAACCATTCCGTTCCGTTGCCCCGCGAACTCGATCCGAATCGTCGTGTTGCCGTTTGCAGCCCTGTAATGGAGATCAAAAGTTACAAAATAATGAGAGTCTATTCGGATCGTCATGCTGCCGATTGAAGCCCTCTGTAATAGGGATCAAAAGTTACAAAATAATGTACCTTGTTAGGTATACTTACTATTAGCATCGGCCATCTCTTTGGCCTGATCCCACACGGCGATAGGATATTCCAGTCGGCATGTCCAGCAATATCAATCGGAAGCCAACCGTACCGGACAACGCGTGTAACAGCTGAATCTGCAGCTCACTAGCTCCTCTGGAAAACCTTATAAAGATAAAGTTCTCACCGCTCTCTGGAAATAATAAGAAAATTATAAATTACTATTGAATTGTATCTAGATTATAAATAATACTATAAACAATCTATCTACCTGCAAAAAAATG